TTAGTTCCATCAGATCCGCCCGGGAAGAGCAAGATTTGCACGCCAACGCAGAGAATATTGGATTTGCCCAAGATACGGGGAATCTTGCAGGTGTCAGACTGAAAAGAGTCTGATGATGTGACCGACTCCTTGACCAGTCGTCAGGATGGATACGCAAAGAAACACGACAAAACATAAGGCAAGGCGAAAGTAGCATTTATTATTATTATTATTATAAAAAAGGAGGGTACAAGTAGCAAGGAGCTTATTACAATAAGGAATATGAAAATGCTCCTAAAAAAGATTCCTCCGAACTATGGCCGACTCTGGTACATACGATCACTCGCCGGGCGAGGAAGAGTCGCCCCCAAAGAATCCCCCCGGTGGTCCAGGTGGGGATGGACAGAACGAGTCCCAGAAAGCTGGCATGAGTGGTGGCGCAATTGGCTCCTCATCATCCGGATACGCCTCCAGGTAGCGGGCGTAATCTTCATCATTCATTAGGCCCGTAACTGGCCCATCCAGGTCGTCCAGCGGGATTGAAAAGGTCATTCTGAAAGTAAGTTGCTCTGGAACCGCCACCTCAACGAAGGACCCGTCTTGAGAAGTCACTCGGGCAGTTGTGGGAGTCGGCGGAGGGCGTGAAGATGGAGCGACCTCACGTCGAGGAGGAGTCGGCGGCTGAGAAGCTGAAGGAGTAGCGCCGGCAGGAGATCTCTGAGAAGCCGGGCGAGGAGTCTTCTTTTTGTGTTCCCTTTCAGGCCGAGTCCGCTTGGAAGGCAGCGGACGCCAAGGGGACCCAAAGTCAATTCGTTTTTCTTTCAGAGGAGAACGACCCATGATGGACTTGTGAAAGAAAGAAAGAAGGGAGGAGGCCATTTATAGGTGCCAAGTCTAGACAGAAGAATCCAAACGGCCCCGTGAGATCCGGAGAGAATGGCTGATGATCCGGACGTTACAAAAGGTTATTCAAGGCGTGGATACGGTGATTGAAGGAGATGGACAGTTGCTACTTTTCCAAACCCAGGCTAGCGTACCGGGTATGAAAAAGTGAGGGACTAGTTGATGGGGTAAGGACCCCGGCCCAAGAGATAGGGGCCCAAAGGAAATGGGTCGAGACAGGAGAAGTGGGCCAGCGTCCGAGGAGCCCGAAGAGCAATTGGGCCGAGTCCTGGAGTCGGCCCAGGCCCAGGCACGGGCCTGGTTCAGAACTGCTAAAGAGGAGCCCAGTGGGAGCTTAGGCTGAGACGAGGAGTCGACCAAGGCCCAAGCCCAGGGAAAGACTCGGTTCAAGGAGCCGTTGAGAGCATTGAAGAGGCTCGTTTAAAAGGGAGCCGTTAGGGCATTGAAAGCAGGACTCGGTCAGGCTGTTACAAGCCTGGAAGAGCCGTTGGTCGACCAAGTAATGGCGTCCAACGGCTCCATATCTTGATTAGTCTTGAAGTCAGCCATTAAGGGCCTTCAAGTCGGTAGAGGAGGAGCCGCTATTTAAAGGCTCCTCCACTCTTGTAAAAGGACAGACGATTGAATACCCGGAGAGGGGAGAATACCAAAGAGATTCCGAGCGCTAGCATTATTTCCAATATAGGCATACATTTTTATTGAAAGGTGTATCCTCCAGCCGAAGGTTGTGTTGGACCTCCTTGGGCCTGAAAACCCAAAAACCATCACCGAGTAAATTAAAAGGATAAATTTCTAATTACGCACTCCTATTCCACTCGCATTCTTGTAAGTTACAGCTACTCAACTATCTCCAGCTAGCTACTACGTAACAATTTCAAAATGAAAACCTCTTCAAGAAAGTGATTGTGTCTATAAATTCAAATATAACTCAACAAGGAAATCCATTAAACATTAAACTCTAATCGCCTTTCTAATTCCACGGCCAAGAGCTTGCAATCATTACGTATATATACAAACTCAGAGAAATAGTGGTGGAAATTTGATTTGACTTAACTAAAATATTCGATGTTTGATTTGACTTAAACTTGGAAGGTAGGTAGTCGGCTCCATGCATTATTTGAAGACTGGATAAGCTGAGCAGTGGTCCAATAAATGCGTGCGGACGGAATTTCACGCGTATGTACCACCCACAATACTTATAATAATTTGTATTTTAAAAAAAAATTCTCAATCACTACTCGGTTTTGTGATCATGATAGACAAAAGATTGACAAAAATTACAAAAAGATAAACCAATTTGTCCATAATTGACTATCTAGTTCAATTAAAAAGGGTCAATAAATTATTCAGGTTGAAAATTGAAATTGTAATCTTGTGATTATCATTTTTATTTTTTATTTTCTATTCTAAACCATTATTGTATCCTTGTTTTAGTAAGCAAAAAGCTATCCCAAAACGAGTATCCTCCACTTCGTGAAAGAGACAAGTGGCAATTTGGATGGATGACCACAAAACCAAATCCTTCTTTTTCGTGAATGGAAACCAGCTATATATACATTTGCTGTACTTCTGTTGGGCATGTTCGATCAAATCAATTATTGTATTTTAATGTTAATTATTTAATTAACAATGTTGCTTATCTCGTACACTATTACCTAACCTTTTCATGTTTGTTTGATCAGATCTCTCCATCTATAAATTCAAACCAGCTTTTGTACTCAGCTGATAAACACCACCATTCTTGTAGTCTTCTACTCTGATCTTAATCACTCCATTATCATCTTCCATTCTCGATCTCAAGATTGATTTTGTTGTTTGAGATTGCAGAGATATATAGATGGCTAAGTATGATATCTTCACAGTGATGTTTGTGATGAATGTAGTACTGAATGGATGGATGCATGGAGCTATTGTGGATGGTCTGAGGATGGATTACTATATCTTGGCATGCCCCATAGCTGATTTGATCATTAAGAACACTGTAAACAGGCACTTGCAGAAAGATCCTACTCTTGCTGCTTCTCTCGTTAGGATGCACTTCCACGACTGCTTCATCCAGGTTCTCTCTCTCTCTATATATATACATATATATAAACCTTGCATGCATGCATGGAATAATGGAATAATACTGGGAAGGGCCAATCCCATATAATACTCCTAATATGAGTAGCTAATGGTTTTTTTTAGTTTAAGTCAATCAGTTATGCGTAACCTAAGCTGCTTTATAGGGATGCGATGCATCAGTATTGATTGATTCAACCAAGGACAACACAGCAGAAAAGGACTCCCCGGCCAATTTGAGCTTAAGAGGATACGAAGTTATAGACGACGCCAAGGATGAGCTCGAGAGGCAATGCCCCGGAGTTGTTTCTTGTGCTGATATTGTCGCCATGGGTGCCAGAGATGCTGTTTTCTTTGTAAGTCTTACCCTGTTTGCTAAATGGCTGTTAGCTGATCCATATTAGTTGATTGGGTTAGAGGGCATGATTAGTTGATAACATTAGCTGATTGTAAAAAAATGTTTTGGTAAATTAGCTATTAAGTGATAGTTGTTTGGTATAATTTATTTTCTTAAAAAGTTAATTGATAATTAAAACGGATTAACCAAACATATATATTGAATTTTTAACCATGTCAAACAGTTAATAGTGGTCAAATAAGTCAAAATTGACTATTAAGCTAATTATTTTATTAAACAGTGGCATAGTGTCGGTGTTCAGTTATCTTTTTTGAATATTCTTTTATCTATTCCATGCATATATTAGGCTGGGGGCCCATATTATGAGATACCCAAAGGCAGAAAAGATGGAAGAAGATCAAGAATAGAAGACACCATTAATCTACCATTCCCCACCCTCAACAGTTCTGAGCTAATTGCCACGTTTGGGCGGCGCGGATTTACCGCTCAAGAAATGGTAGTCTTGTCGGGCGCACACACCCTGGGAGTCGCGAGGTGCGCGTCGTTCAAGCACAGGCTGAGCAACTTCGACAACACGCATGACGTGGACCCCACCATCGACAACCAGTTCGCGAAAACCCTGTCGACAACATGCGGCGCCGGCGGCGACGCGGCGGAGCAACCCTTCGATTCAACGAGGAACGCATTCGACAACGATTATTTCAACGCGCTGCAACGAAGGAGTGGCGTGCTTTTCTCCGATCAGACACTGTACGCCAGCCCTGCGACACGTGGCCTGGTCAACAACTATGCCATGAACCAGGCCATGTTCTTCCTCCATTTCCAGCAAGCTATGGTGAAGATGGGCAGGCTCGACGTCAAAGAAGGGTCGCAAGGAGAAGTCCGACAGAATTGTCGTGTGGTCAACTGATCTCTCCATTATTTTGTTTTTTTCCGAAAAGATTTATTATGTGGTCTCTCGTTTTGTAAAAATGACATTTATCCCCTCCATGTGGACCATGTATGATGTATGTGTGAAATAAATAAATATAATAAACAATAAATAAAAATAGCGTTACCTATATTATATGGTCTAATGGTACCCGGGTTAGACTTCTCTGTGTTTCAGTAGGTTGAGAAAGTATATGAACAGATATAACAATGTAATAATAAACCTTTACCGACTAGAGTCACAAAGTATAATTTACTTAATATACATCATTGAATAGTAATTGCGAATTTCCTTCATCAACCAAAAAAGTAATGGGAGTGTTCGATAAATAGTTGTTAGCTGATTGGATTGGTAATTTAGTGGGTTTGACTAGTTAATAACATTAGTTGATTGTAAAAAGATATTTGGTAAATTAGCTGTTAGTTAATAACTGATTACATATAAAATGACTTTCTCAAAAAGTTGTTTTGAGTAGCTTTTTGAATTTTAGTGTTTTGAAACAATAAGTTGTTATACAAAGTTAATTAATTAAACATGCATATTGGTTGTTTAACTAAATCAAACAGTTAATAATTGTCAAATAAGTCAAAATTGACCGATAGACTAACTATTTTATCAAACAGGGCAATGACTTCTACCGTTGGTGAACAACCAAAACCATATCTCATAAAAATTAAACAACCAATAATATTCATGTTGACAATTAAAGGACTAAAAGCTTTATTTCATGTAACTATGGGGCGGGGTGGGTGGGGTGGGGTGGTTGAATTGCTATTAAGATATGTAATGCTTAAGAAACCAAAGTGCACATGATTTAGTATATTACAAAACCAGTATTTGCAGTTTTGCACACACAGACTTCACAACCAGTTTTCAGAACTAGTTTACATAGATCTAAGAACGAAATTACATTTTTGGGCTTAGGAACAAAAACTACAAGCTCTAACGCCCAAAGGCAGTCCTCCTCATCATTCTCATGAATTCCTCTGAGCTAACTTCTCCATCACCTACAACATTTCACAAGGCTTCAAAATTTAATTCATTGTCCATTTTGTATGAAGAACACAACACTTGCAAAAAGTTTCAAGTAAAAGATTGAAATCAAGAAACAATAATAAACTTACGATCTTGATCAGCTCCCTCAATCATCAGTTGAATCTCTTCATCAGTAAAATGCTCGCCCAATTCCTTGGAAATACGCTTAATGTCTCCAGCGGAGATTTTCCCCTGCATATAAAGAATTTTAGACTAGGAAAATAGGGCATCACACGTTGCGGGACTAAAGATGGCTAGATAGATAAATACATTTTTATCTTGATCAATGATCTGGAATGCTTTTGTGAGTTCTTCTTTAGTGCTCCTCTCCCCAAATTTATTAGTCATCATATGCACAAACTCATCGAAATCAATTGCTCCACTGCCATCCTTGTCAACTTCCGCAATCATTCGGTTGATTTCCTGGAATTACAAATTCAAGTAGATCTTAGCCATGTTATCACCGACAAAGGAACCACACGTTTGAACATATAAACATAAATGTGTAATCCAACTATCAGCTTAGGCTTTTAGTTGAGATGGAGCACATGTTTCAATTGTGACATCAATTTAATTGGGGACTGGGGAGAGCATGAAATGTTCACAAGATGAACAAACAAAACTAACCGGTGAATCTAAAAACAAAACCATAAAAGAATCATGTAGTAGTACCACAAAACCAACTATTTCAAGTAGATTCATTGGAATTTATAGTTACCTCTTCAGTTGCTTCAAAACCCAGAGCCCTGTAATAAAACTCCGTTAAGTTATATATACTCAAAGAATATCCCTTTGATACTAATTAGTCTTTCGTCATCAACAATGGAAAATTTGTGAAAAGCTATACAAACCTCATGGCAACATTCAACTCTTTGGCATCTATGGTGCCTAAAGAAGACGACATAAAGAACATATATAGTTAGCATAATTTCAGGAGATAATTGGTATATATAAAGTTATCAAAGAGGTTATAATACCAGAGTTGTCAGTATCAAAGAGCTCAAAGCATTCCCTTATCTCTTGCCTTTTTTGTTGTGTTAGACCATGGTGGCGTCCTCTGGGCTTCTCTCTCCTAGAATGGCTTGTCTGCATCGTGTTGTTAGTCCAAGAAGTTGGTGACAGAAAACAGAATTACAAATAGAGGGCATATGATAATGAACAAAGGGAAGTATAATACGAACAATTCCCTCAAGGCTCAATGCTAAATAGTGAGTTTTTGACAAGTTCTTTATATTTGGATGCAATTAACTACCGCCATTCTTGATTACAAATCACAACTAACTTGTAGAGATTCACTTTAAAGCCAAGATCTCAAACCGTACTATACATGTCCTAAACACATACTCAGAGGAGGAAAGGTTAGACTACTAAATGGAAATTTCATCACAAACAAATAGGAAAGAAGAACGTTACTAAAGAAATGCTATGCATTCATGGTAATTTTCTGGAAAACTAGTCAAAACCATGGATTCAAGCTCTTATAGACTGAAAATCTGCATTCACTATTGCCCACTAAGCCAAATCTCATATAGCTTTAGCTGACTGCCTAACCACAAAGAAACCGCATATACTGAAAGGCAACTTTAGTTAATTCTCAAGTATGCAGAAAACACAGTTCAAACAAGACATCTACGTATGTATTTCTTAAAATCAAAGGGCATAGCATCTGATGTGAAAAGCCTTGACTTGAATCCACCATATTTGACACTAGCTAAGTTAAATTCTCAAAGATCTAATTGTGCCCCATCCAAAGAGTAAGTGAATAAAAACAAACAAAATTATGAAGATAAGCATAGAGAAAAGGAATAAACTTTACCGTCGTTCGTTCTTCCAGAAAAGTCTGCAGTCAAGCAAATTCAAAAGAAAAGCTTAAGATCAGTAATCACAGATTAATTCAATACAGGATAATTGAAGAGGCAGCCAGACGGAAAATTTACCATGGCGATCTAAGCGAGAGGAGGAGGGATGCGGAAAATGCTTGATTTTGGGAGGTTTTGACAATTGTCTTTGTGTATCTTCAGAAACAGGCACTGTCGGAACAGTGAAATAGTTTTTTTTTTTTTTTTTTTTTTTTTTTTTTTTTTTTTTTTTTTGGAGTTCTATTACACCATTATTTGTACTATTAAATTCTAATCAAATTTTATTATTTGATACAGCAGTCATGATTGAAAATTGCTGCCTATTTTATATTATTTTTTAAAAATTTATTTAAAATTTATTAAGACTTGATAATTATAAATTATTTAATACTTTAATAGTTAATATTAAAATATAAAATATAAACATTAAAAATATGAAGGACAACTATGTGGTCTAATAGTATCTAAAATGGACTTATATTTGGAAGGTTGTAAGTTCAAGCCTCAGAAAAAACATTAAAAACATTCATAATTTAAACAATTTAGAGCTATTCACTCAAAATGGCATCGCACTTAGCGTCTAGTCATCGATTAATCAACATTAAAAACATTCATAATTTAAACAATTTAGAGCTATTCACTCAAAATGGTATCGTTTTGAGTGAAATGCCGCCTAAACCACCAATTATGGTGGTGATACATTAGGCGGCCGGCGTGGTGATACATTAGGCGGCCGGCAGCACCTAGCGTCTAGTCATCGATTAATCATCTTTCTTGTCTAAAATAAGGTCTTATTTTACTAAAACATTTGTGCTACATGGGACTGTTGAAATTGGTCTAATGAACCTTAGACATGTATTTTTGGCTTTCTCAAATCTTGATAATTATATGAATATTTTGGTTAAGGGTCTGAACAGAGATAGACGGACATCACACAAATTTTTGTCAAATTAATTAATGTAACAAATGAAGCCTCCGGATTCATGAAGGACGGACCGGTTCAATTTAGGATCGCGTAAGGCCATAAAAGTATAAAAGAGCGAACGGCCTAAAGAGAGCCGGTAGATCCCAACTGACGAAGAGCAGTATAGACGTATAGTCCTGAATTGAGTGCGTTGATCCGTCCCCATCTTCATCTTCCGTTGATTTTCGACCTAGCGCAGAGGTGAATGTCTGTACGCACACATCTGTAGCTAGAGAGAGAGAGAGTGTGTGTGTGTGTATGTATCTGTGGAAGGAGCGAGACAGAGAGTGCAGCGCAGAGTACTGTTGAAGTGCTACGAAGCGGAGCCGATACGGTAGGATAGAGAGGTAGAGAGAAATGGAGAAGATGAACCAGGCGCTGGAGAAGATGAAGATGCTGGTGGGAATGGATGTGGAAGACGATGAAGCTGATCAGCAGCAGGATTCGTCTTTTGCTTTCGTCGACGACTTCAATCGCAACTGCACTCTCTCCACCAAGCAGGTTACAAGCTCTTAATATCATTCCATCACTATTTCTTTTGAACTTACTAGCGTTTCCGGTTTTTGTAATTATGGTGTAGAAAGGTGGAATCAATCCTAACTAATTAATTGAAAGGGTTTTGATTCGTCTTGAAATGCTGAATCTCGAGCTATTTAGTTTGAATGATGAATTTATATTGTATTAGTAAAACGAATTATTCTCTAGATCAATTAGAATTATACATTGGAACTGTGGCTTATTTTTCTGCATAATTGAAATTAAGCATGAAAATTACTGTTTAAGCATCATCATTATTATTGTTAGTATTGGTACTATCATTATTTCTGCCATTTTTAATTTTATTTCTACTTACAGAACAAAAAAGATGTTATATATATACTGACCAGCAAGCATAGTGTAATTGCATTTCTTATATGAAAATTAATCTACTCTGGCTTGGATTTGCATTTAAGTATGATGTGAAACTAATTCAGTTCATATGTTATTGGATGCTGTTCTTTTGAAAGAACACACTATTAGATGACATTCAAAACAAAAGTACTATGTAGTTTTTTAAGTATCACCATATGAGTTATAACTTATATTAGATTGGAGAGGTGATATAAATCTATGATGTAAAAGGCAGTGGGGAAATGAATAATTTAAGTCAGGAGTTGAATAATAAAAGAAATAATAGGCCTAGATAGAGTAAGATTCAACTGATGGTTGTACTGCTGGTCTACTAAAGTTATACTCCGTATTATGATGGCATTAAAAGTATTTGTTTCTTTATGTGAATGTCTTATAAGCTCAAACTTGGTCTTTATTTCATTTTAATTTATCTTCTTTTACCAGAGGCTTTATGGATTTGCCATTTGCTTCGCTACTGGTGTTGCTTGTACACTTTTGGTGAGTTTCTATGTTTAATATTCTTAGTTTCTTATTTCATTCAATGCCAATATTAGTTCTGCTTCTTACTTTTATACGCAAGTAAACAATAGATGCATGAGCTTGGATCAAATTTTCTATTTTGAAAATATATCTTAGTTATAGTGGCATTTTCTAGTTTAACAAAACCTCACTACTATTGAAACAATATATTTCTTAGCTTTATGGATCATTAGCTTGGTTAGTGTCCATTTTTATAGTTTGTGTTGACATAATTATGTTACACTTTTTACTGGATGATGAAGCAGTCAAAATGAGGACTAAGATTATTTTTGCAAGTAGTAGTAATCTATGCTGTTGTGTACATATGAATCTTTGTATGTGTAACAAGGAAAAGGAAAATGAAAAGGAAAAAAATAATGATAGTACAAAACAAAATAATTATGTTGGCTTTCTGGGCTTGTGAGCCTGTCTCTTTGAGCTTGCAAGCTGATCTGATTCATTTACACCTGTATATTGCTTAGATAAGTTTATTTCTCAATTTATTTACTGAACAATGAAGCAGTCAAAATGAGGACTAAGATTATTTTTGCAAATAGAAGTAGTAATCTATGCTGTTGTGTACATATGAATCTTTGTATGTGTAACAAGGAAAAGGAAAAAAATAAGGATAGTACAAAACAAAATAATTATGTTGGCTCTCTGGGCTTGTGAGCCTGCCTCTTTGAGCTTGCAAGCTGGTCTGATTCATTTACACCCATAATTTTGCTTAGATAAGTTCATTTCTCAATTTATTTTTTGTACTATTTACTGATGAGCCAAGGATCTAACACATTGTTTTTTTATTTTTCTATGTGATAGTCCATGTTGGTGTTTTTTAATCCAGTCAAATTTGGAATAACATTCTCCTTTGGCAATCTGCTTGCACTTGGAAGGTTTGAGTATCAAATTTTTATGATGCGTGGTTTTTATTTTGCCTGGAAAAAAAGATCTATACCATCCTACAAGACATAACAGAAAGACTTTTACTATTTTTCATTTGTAAATTAATTCATTAGAATAGATGGTTAAATGTCACAGTTTTGACACTATCATATCTATAGTTTCAACAGAGATTTTCTTTGACAAAAGCTTTAAAAATCATTTCTCTATGCACTAAATACTGTTTTGTGGTAGATATTAAGTCACCTGTTAAATTAGATTCTTTTTATGGCAGCACAGCGTTCCTTATAGGACCTAAACGACAAGTGACAATGATGCTGGACCCTGTTCGTATCTATGCAACTGCTATATATCTTGCAAGCATCATCATTGCTTTGTTTTGTGCTCTATATGTGAGTTTCTGGGTCCCTTTCTCTGTTTCTTTGTCATTCCCTGATATAGACAATGCCTTTTCTTACTGCTTTTTGAACCTGTTCTTGCCTGATCTTTTTGTATCAGGTGCGGAACAAGCTACTTACACTTTTGGCAATTTTATTGGAGTTTGGTGCTCTTATTTGGTATGTCAGTAAGCTCTCATGTCTCTTTATTTCTTCAGACTGATTAACCTGCACTCTCTAATAGTTTGAGTTGGGAAGACAGAGTGCAGCAGGATTTTCTAGTTTGTGACCACTCTAAAACCAAAAAATATACTGCATTCCACATCTCACTAAGTATGGTGAAATCCAAAGTGAATCTTCATTGCTTTTGAAGTCCCCACATCTGTTGATCATTGGAATGCTAATTGCCTTAAGTCAATGTTAGCACAATTGCCAACAAAGTTGGTCAAGTCTCACATAGCTACATCAGCTAGGTTCATAGGATATTTAGTAATGATTACTGAAAGTCTTGCTCATTTGTTATATACTAAACTAGATTTCTTTGATAGATTTTGCCACACATTGCTGTTTTTAGCTGAGAATCTTGTTTGCTTCTGTAATTTCAACAGGTATAGCTTGAGTTACATCCCATTTGCAAGGTCCATGGTCTCAAAAGTTATGGTTGCTTGCTTTGATACCGAATTCTAAGTGGCATACTCATGAGAGGGGTTCAGATTTGCAATTTCTGTATAGTAGCATGAATCTCATACATGACAAAACCTGGTGTTCTGATCCAGAGATCGGGTTAGGTGAGTGCACCACCTGTGTGTAACTAACTAGTTACAATCATTTTGACTGGACCAACTGCTGGTGCCTATCAACGCTTTTTCTTTCTGCTACGTTGTGCTAGGGATTTGTTTACCCTTGTTAACAAGTGTTATTATCTCTTCATATGGTCGATGCGTTTGGTACAAGATTGTATTACATACAGTGTTGCAAAAAACGTTAGGCGCTCCCTAGGCGGCAAGGGGCGCCTAGGTGTCAATTTTTTTTTTTTTTTAATTAAAAATAAAATTAAAAATTAAAAATTTTTAAAATTTAGTAATAAAATATAAGGTTTCCATAGTTATTTCTCAAAGATTATTTAGGAAAGTGGTTGTAAAATTGTTCAAAAGATTGTTTAAATGATTTAAATACATAAAAAACTAAAATTAAGAGCTAAAGAAGTATTTTTTTGAGAAATTAGTGGACCAAACCGCCTTCGGCGTTTGCGGTGGATAGATCTCGAAAAAATACGTGATTTGAAAAAAAAAATTGTCCAAAACGGACAACCGAGTCAAAAGTTATGTCTTCCCGAACTTTTCGCAATTTAAAACTCAAAAAAAAAAAAAAAAAAAAAAATTAAATTGCCGGTTTAGCCGGCTAGGCGGCCGCCTAGCCGGTCGGCCGCGGAAGAGGCCGATTCCGGCCTTCTTCGCGGCGGCGGTCGGGCGCCTAGGCGCGATTTTTTGCAATCATGGTTACATAATAACGAATCAATCCAGAGTAATCACTCTCTTTATGTTGAGACGGAAGAAGTCAAGTCAATTCAGACCAAAGAATACCAATACGTTAGAATATTATGTGTATATGTACCTATATATATATATATATATATATATATATATATATATATATATATATATATATATATGTTGAGATGGAACTTGGAAGAAGTCAAGTCAATTCAAACCAACTTATAAATACAAACATGCACTGTGCTCTACTTAACTTTTGACATGCATTGCTAAGTAATCTTAAAGTGTACCGTCAAGCATTTCTAAATGCATTAGAGTTGACAATTAATGAAATTGCTTAGCGATGCATGTCAAAAGTTAAAAATCAATGACTACATTTCTAAATGTACTAAGCACTACCTAATTGTCGTGCATTTAAAAAATACTTTATGGTGCATTGTTACTAACTAGACAGTGCATCCGCACATTCTTACGGAAAGGCTTGTCCGCACCAGAATATATATATATATATATATATATATATATATATATATATATAGACACACACACTTGACTTGAAAATAATATACCTAATACGACAAAATCACTATGATATCATCACTGACTCTCTGTACATGGATATTACAATTGAACATGGTTTCCTCTAATTCATTAATTCTTAGCTAGAGCTTTAAACATTGTGCCTGTCTTTTGCTAGAAAATGCAATCCTGCCCTTCTTCAACTCTTTCTTGCATTCTGCGGGTAATTAACGTCAGCTTTTAAGTACCATTTTTTTTTTTTCTATTAAAGTACAAAGTCGCCATTCTATTCAGCAGTCTGTGATGCCCGATTTTCTTGTCTGGGGTTACCTGCTGCATAAACTTGAGCATGGTCTCTGAATATGGAAAGGAAGGAGTTGACACTTTCAGAAGTAGCACCCCCCAAAATCCACAACAGTAAGGAGCTAAATGGATTCATGGCTCCGGGGTTGGGGTTGGGGTTGGGGTTGGGGTTGGCTCCGTTCTCAGGTGGGCGGATATCAGGCTGTTCTCCAATTTGAAGGGGATTTCCTAATCTATCTGGGTTTCCATTTGCTGCTACTACTTCACCTCCTGAAAATTCTGTGCTGCCATCTCTTGGCACTGCTGCTTCAATTCCTGCTCTAGGCCCAACTCCAGGAGGCAAATCTGCATTGACTGGACTGGGATTCCTTGTATTTAGCCTTGTGATATGTAGGGTTGATGCAAGAAAAGTCTGTGATGTGATGTGAAAGTCCGGTTGCTGTTGAAAATGTGAACGTCGGTTTTGCATATACCTCTGCAGTGCTGGAACCTGAGTGGAAGTCACTATCAATGACCAATTGTTTTCAACTCTGGTAACATAAAACATTCAAACTTCAAAGTCATGAACAGGATCTCACCTCAAAACGGTTCCAGAAGTACATAATTAGGTGGTTCACGAATGCAGCAGTTGCAGAGAGTGCTAGATAAGAAAACCCTGGTAAAAAGTGAACTACATAATAAGAGAGCAGGTAGAATTTGGATTTAAAGAATTCAATAATGTCTAAAGTTCATTCCACTGTACCGTAAGTATAGGAAAAGAAGTAGATGTGGAAAACCAGAAAGTAGAGCAAAAAGAAGCGGGGAAAGTATTTCATTGATATTGGTGTACGTACACTGCAAGAAATTAACAAGAATGATTACATTAGAGAGAGGGTGGGAAAAAGGCACATCAGAGTGGTTGCTTGCAAGGAAGTGTCACTTTTATTTATTTATTTAAAAAAAAAAAAAAAAAAAAAAAAAAAAAAAACAATTTGGAACTGAAGTGTAACTAAAGAAGGTATTTGAAGTAATTGCTGTTTAATTGAAGATCCTGGCACAGCAACTACAGTAGAAAATGAAATCCTGAAGAGAGCAGACAAGTAGGTATGTTTCAAGAATTTGATTAGCTTTGAAAAAAAAAAAAAAAGAACTGATAAAATAATGGTTTTTGACTTTTTGTTGTCTTCTCCAAAATTCCCTTTTATCAGCATCATCTAGACTTCAACAATTATTACAATCAATTTTCTCCTAAACTTATTTGATTCCATAACTTTTACCACCCCCAACCCAAGTGTCCATATTATTACAGTGTGATTCACACACCTATGAAGATGCATATGATGCATGCGCACACACGTAGATATAGAGATATTTAGAGGGAGGGAGGGAGAGAGAGAGAGAGAAACCTGATTAGCGTAAATAGTTCACAAAGCCAAACAAGAATCAAGACCATGAAAGCCAATAATTGATCATCATAAAACTCAAACAGGAAAAATAGGATACCAATCATTATCTGCAATTCAGGAATGAACTTTTCAGGAAAGTATCATAATCAATTGCAAATTGTGCACATGTCAAGAAATAAGCAAATTAATTAATTAAGAAAACAACATGAGCGGCTTACCGGTACAAAAACAAGGGATTCAATTACATGCACAAAGATTAACTGAAAAGTTGGAAGCCTATGCCGAGCATGATGTTGGAGCTGAACTGAAACAATGTTTGCCAAGGAGACAATGAATAAGAAATGAGAGGCATGGAATGTGGTGGCTCAAAACAGACAGACAAGATATATCCTCTCTGGCAGCCAATACAACAAAATACATTAAGAATCATCTAAATAGGCAATGAAACTGTTCATTTAGGCATGAGATTAAAAGAATCAACAACATGACTGCTAAATAAGTAAAAGCCTCCTCTAACAGTAGTATAACATAGTGCTTATAAAAAATAAAATAAAAATGTAGACTGGCATCGCATGTAATTTTGGACGTACATTGTTAGGATAAAAGGGGCCTAACAAATAGATATGGACCAAACCTGTAAACTTCAGCATGCGAGTTTGGGTCTCTCTTAGTGTAAATGAAACTGACATTGTGGTTGTGAAGAAAACAAAAAGTGACATCATTAGCACACCACACTTTGTCACAAGGTAATCTGCAAGAACAGAAAGCAAAATGCAGTATCATATTTATGCTCATATGACTTATCAAACTGAAAAGAAAAGTTGTATGCTGCACTTATTACTGCCCAAAGTAAGATATGTATGCAACAAAAGCATTCTTAATGTCTAAAAGAAACAGGAATTTCACAGTATGCATATTTAGCTAATTACCACCAATAGTCAAACATCTGATTAAACATAATAATCTTCACAAAATTTCATCATCATTTTCTTCTTTGGACTACATTTCAATAGTGTCTTATATGATTGGTTTTAATTGCAGTTGCTCTTTAGAAACCATGAGAAAAATAAGCCTTTCATTGGAGAAGCACACTTTCAGTTAAATGTTTTCCTAGGCCTGAATTTGAGCATTGTTCTCTGTTATTTCTTTTACACTAGATGCACAAAACTCTTTCCTCCCACCACCAGCACATATATGATCTTCAACTTTGCATAAACACTATGTTGATATACTAAAGTCTGGCAGTATTGAATTGAACTAGCGCAAAGGCATGCATAAGCATGGAAGTATTGGACTTTGGACTAATTTTTTCACAGCAACAGTAAAAAATGGCTGTCAGATGCGCATGTGATTCTCATAGACAGAAAAGAAATGCATGGTTCAACAATCACAGACCTCCAAACCTTGCAGAACTTTCAGGTTGCTCATGTGCATAAGTAAGATTAAAGAACTCCTTTGTTTGGTGATTATAAAGATAGCCTGCATGCAAGTTCCAAATAACCATCATAATCATGGAAAAAACAATATGAACCATATGCAACATATACCATATACTCTTCATAATAAGTACTTTAAAAAAAAAAAATCAAATTCAAAATGAGCATGAGATGTGACTCATTTTAATAGGAACACTAATTCCAAAGCAAAATCATAAAACCAAATAAGTAATGGCTAGTAATGCATGTCAGAAATGGTGAAGGCCTGAGGCAAAACTGCAGAAAGGGGACCATAAAGAAGTGTTAAGGAATTGCACTACAGAAATAAAAATAAAATGTGCATTAAGAATGAGGCATGTCAACCTGTTGCATATGTAATGATGTGACTATTCTAGGGTACAACAAAAGAAGAGAACACAAGGTCTGAAGAGGAAAGCACAAAAAACTGCGTCATATTTTGTCCTGTATGCAATAACTGTAGTATGAGATATAGAGAACTACTTAATACCTTGACCCGGAGAACTCAACAAACTATTAATCAGAATAGTATCATATCCAACAAGCCTGTTGATAAGAAGTTGCTGCCACCTGAAAGAATTAAGTCCATTTAAAAAGGTTATGTGTCATTATAGTATAAAATTGCTAATTCTCCACTATACATCTTTAGAATCAAGAGTCTCATATCTTTTAGTCCAATCAAATTATTGTCAAGGTCTTTAAGGAGGGAGAATTGTAAGAAGAACAATAAGATCTATTGGCCAATGGTAATTTTCTAAACAGAGGGTGCCACACATCAAGGTGAAATCTGCTATTGAGAAGTCAAATATAAAAATGAGGTCTACAGTAGAAGGTGAACTTAGTCAAACTCAAATATGTTACCCGAACTCTTAATTTTAACCTGGCATATCCATGGCAACAACAAACTCATATCCAAGATGGGTCCTTTAAAACACACTTACACACCACAAACTTGGTGCAAGTTGGGCATATCCATGCAGTACAAAAACCTGTATCTGGCATGGATACCTCATACCTTCCGTGTGTAAGACTGAACTAAGTGCCCATCCCTTCTACTCTGATAAACTATAAATCATTTAGCTATTTATAAAAGAATGCCATTAAGATCCTTTTTTATTTTGGTGCTGCTTTGTATGTTCAGTCTCCTCTACTCTTATAATATTTTCTCTCCTTTGGAGCGACATGAAGATAATAACCTGTTTCCAAAGCATGGATGCTCAGCTGAGATGCTTATGTTGATTGCACGAATGTTGTGTTGTAACCTGGCTTCTTCTGGAATCAAGAAATAACCCTAAGGAGAAATATCACATATGAATAAACTTTAACAATGACAAAATGGATTGCAACATTAATTCAATAAATATTAACGAGAGACTGGAAGGATAATCTGAAAAACAGATGAAACAGATTAGGAGTACAACCTTCTCCACTGTGTATATGAAAGTTGGTTCATATGTGTTGCTTCTCCTCTCAAGCCATTGTACTGTAATATCCATATAGCAAAATTAAGCATTTCCATATTTCATGTACATGCACCCGTAAAATTTGTTCATGTGACATAACTATAACAATGCCAATAAAAATATTACCAGCATAGGAGTTAAGCCTGTGCAAATGCAGCGTTTTAAGCAGCTCTGGAATATCAATTTTCAAATGTATACCAGCAATATCCTGCACATCAAGAGTTTGTTATGTGCCCTCGTCACGGGCAGGAAAGCACAAAAGAAAAGAACAAAGAATAGTAAATCAAAAAGGAAAAGAAAATGTTGGGTTTGCTTGCAACACAAAAATCCCTTGTCCCTTAGTTTAGGGTTAAATTTCCACTTGTCTATTATTATAGGGTTGATTACAAGGATTCGTAAACTAAGAAAGCTTAATGATTTGATAGGTTCCAAATAACTAAACTGCCTAACTAATTCGAAGACTAAGAGCAATAAACGAAATAATTATCTAGTAGTTTCTAAATGAGAATACAAAGTAATAAGCTAAATAGCTATTTAGTAATTTCTTAATAACTAAACTATGTAATGTAATTTTAATAAAATAAGACTTCTCCAATCATAGCAACTCCCTAAATAACCATGTACCCCAGAATGTATCAGAGTTCAACACTGTTCAATAAAAGCAGTTCAGCAAGATACCAACACAAGGCAATGAAAGCATGAAAGCTTCATCAAATGAATCAATGTAAATTAAATCAACAAAGAGAAAACTCTGAGAGTTAGGCTTTACTTCATTACCATTTAGCTTATCAATTTAACATCACCAGAACTTAACTCTAATGCCAATTTAGAAAACACAAAATGTCATTTAGAAAATATTTTAAACTACACTCTGAAAAAGTAAAGTTGAAAAATAAACCAGACAATAAAATATGTGCAGCTTAGGCATTAGGATTAGTTCATGTTTCAAGATGTTGAATTTATATATTTTATGAAAGGTCCACATTTTCATGCAAACAGTTGAGTGGGTGTGGATGTGCAAAAGTGTGCGTCCATGGCACTTTTCCTGTAAGTGAACTTTGAAGACCTGCAGAATAGTGATGTTTTCAGTTGAGTCAAATGTGAATATAAAATTTAAAATGCATTATTACACGACCTTTAGGCTTTTGAAAAAAATAAATAAAGCATGATCTTGTTGGCCATTAAATATTGAATGTGATTTTCCAAAATCACAACAATTACAGAATAAGATAATAAAAACATTCAAGGTGAGCATGGTAAGAAGTATAAGCACATCACATTAAGTTTGAAAAATAACTCTTCTTTCAAAACTATACAGTAAGCATTCCCTCTTAAGAGCTTTCCTTTTGGAGATTAATATGAAAAAATGCACTTTCTATAGTAATTATCAACTACTTAATTAGTTATTTAGTTAAGCGCATATTTATCTCAATCTTTAAACCACTTACCCATAATCCTCCAACAACACGCTTTATAAATCTCCAAAGGACAGACAAACGCCCATGCCACTTTCGGCCGAGCTGGGATATAGCTGCTTTGAGCGATTCCTTTGGTGAGATAAGAAGCCGGCTAAGTGACCCATCTTTACTAATTTTAAGAGCAGTATCATCACCTGCTGACTTAATGCTATCACTGCCGGTAGAAATTTCAGGTTGAGATTTCAGAAATTCACTATCTGCCTTCCAAAATTTTGGAGGAGATTTACCCGTCCAAGCTCCAGCAACAAGCCAGTTCAACCATAACTTTGCTGTCAGAATAACTGATCCATCTTCTACAACATGTATGACTTTCAGAATCTCACTATTACTTTCCCCACTAGAGACATCAACTTCATTATACTCCGTCTCATTCTGGAACCACAAGCCAGCACTGGTAATCTGTAGCATGAAGTAGCATCTTGTAAGTGGTACCTTAAAATTATATCAATTTAACCGACATATTACTGCAACCAGCATACTGCATAAACTCAATAGAGTAGCAAAAACCTTGATTTGAATAATTTGCACATCTGAGATGTCCACTTTTGACAACTCGCTCGAACAGCCAGGCTACAAATCAGCAAAATTAACAAAGTCACAACTCCAGAACCAACTGAAATCATCAAGGCAATTCTCGTAACGACTAATACCATAATGAATTCAATAATAATAATAATAGTAATAACAACGCAGATCATTCCCGATAACCCTAATTCCTTCATATATATAACTGAAATTGAATTCTATAAAGTAATTAGAAATCAAAACAAGGGAGAAAATTATACCTGCTGAACATAGTTGGCGTGCATAACAACGAGAATACAGAAGAGAGTGACGGCGACGAAGAGCAAGAAATATTCGAGTGTAGCTCGAATCCTCGGACTCAGCATCTGAGAGAACCGTTCCTGTACGCGTATAAACGTCTGTTCCGGATCCATCGATTATCTACGCCTATATACACACACATATACATGCATACATACAAGTGTGAAGGTTTTGTATGTATCTACGAGTATCAACACAATCGTATACGCTCAAATTCAATTGCTACAAATTTATGATGCAAACAACACCGTGTAATTAATCTCTGTATCTTCAGAGGACACTCAATAGAATCATAGGTTCGCCGATTTTGCTGATCGGCCAAGTTTTAGGATTAGTTTTGTGCTGGAATCGAAGCTGAGAGTTTCTTCCCCGAAGATGCCTGCACTTGGGGAGCATCGTCAAAGTTCAAAGATGGAAGCCCAGTGTAGGATGGCGTTCGCGCTAATGGGTCCCGCTGTGCCAATGCTTTTCTTCCAAACAATTTTCAACATACCCCTCATATTTAATAAATTATCCCTTAGACGCCCTTTATTTTAAGTTTTGGCCTCATTTGGTTTTTTGTTTTTTGTTTTTTGTTTTTTTTTTTTTAATGTGAAAATATTAATATGCAAAGAGTTAAATATAACATCACAAATAAAATAAGGTAAGATGTATCCCAAGTCTCCCTACCATATTAAAAACTCATAGGCTTTACTACCAAATAAGTTATATTCTATAAGCATTCAAAAAAAAGTTATATTGTATAATTTATTGATTTTTTAACATGTGAATTAAACAAAAGCAACGAATGTAATTTAAAATAGCCATACAACATGTGTCTTTTATTTAGTTTTTACTTCCCTTGTTATTTGTGGCTTTTCATTATCGTATTGATTTAATAATTTTGGCTACAAAATTATATAAATGATATAATTGAAATAAGTCAATTAATTGCTTAAGCTAAATTTTATAGCTTTCTTGTTCTATAAAAGGTTGAATCTCTAACAGCAATAGCCTCCCACCTCAGTCCGATAGAGTATTTGGGATGATGTTAATCATAGTAACTAAGTAGCTCAGCAGATATGACTAAATGTCAGTATGTATAATAGATTTGTCCATTCTGAATATAATTTCACATTACTGTTATTGAGTTTCAGATCTTGATCTCTTGTCCCAAATATTATCTATTAAATTGGTGAGTTAAACTCGCGTGAATGACCTATGGTTTGAAAACCTAAACAATAAACCCTAGAAAGATAAAGCCAGGATCCCAAATCATCAAAAAAAATGTCCCAATCAACTAGTTGAAACCAAGGTTGGAATATGTGCTAAGTGCCCATTGAACAATTGATGGCCCCCTTGTGCTAGTCCCAAATTGAAACTAAAATCATAACTTGGGATTTGCAAGAGAAAACCCTATTGTATAAAATAAAATTAATAAGTGAAAAAGTAACACTCAAGCGATTAGAGTTTTGTTTTTGATTTGAAAAATTAAAAGAGAAAGGAAAAAATTACAGTAAAAAAGAAAAATTGAGAACTTCTAGAGTCGATTTGGATTTGGATGTCTGGTTGTTGATGACGTTCGATGAGCAACGACTTAAATTTATTAGCAATTACGACGATGGCGTCTCAATGTTAATCGTCGACTACTGACATGCCATGGCGAGCGAAGTTGCTTTATCAATTACGGTCAGCGATGGGATCGTTGTGAGTTGTGCAGCAATCTATAGAATTGGTAAAGGTTGAGTTTTGAAAGAGAGATTTGCTTGTTTGATTTAGTTTAGTTGTTTGCTCTTCATCTTTTCTTATACTCGATTATGGGATTGCTTTGTTCAAAACTATGTCGTTTTGAGCAAAACAACTTAATTAAATAAATTTAAAAATAAATGGTTAAACATGTGATTTGTCCAATTAATTGCCTGAGTGCTCGACTAGCCAACTAATTGACCAAAACAACCAACTAGTCAACAACCAAATAGAATGGCCAAATCGACTCGGGCTAGAGCGGCCTAATGTATAGCCAAAAACCTAGACCAAGTTTTATAAGGCATCCTTAATTTTTGTGGTTTTTGAGGTGCCAATTAGGATAGAGAGGAGGGAAAGAAGAAGGAAAAAAAATAAATCTGACGCATTGCAGGAAAAAAAGCCTCTTGATGCACCAGCCCACCTAGCTAGGCAATGTCTACGTGCAAAAATTGAGCCTGTACGTGCAAAATTGAGCATCTCTTCTTCATTTTCTTTCTCTCTCTTGCGAGTTCCACATACAAAAAATCGCGTTACGTGCAAAAATTGAGCCTCTTTTCTTCATTTTCTCTCCTGCGAGTCCTACATACAATTTACAGGACATCTCTCGCTCTAACAATCGTCTAAACGTGCTGAATTACATAGATAATTGGATGATAGTCTTTCATCAATGAGACCCATCACATAAGTCCACTTGTCATCTTACTTCAAACTTACCAATCACTTTATTCTCGTTCAATCAATATATTTTCGTATCCTAAGTAGAAATATTATAATTGATCAAGGATTGGAAAGACAAAATTATACATAAAGAATTATATAACAATAACAATGCACTGAGAATATTCGATTTACATTATCTTCAACCAAAGACAGGATATTCTAGTCATCACTGTCACATGGTTTATTTAAACTCATCACCAACTCCTATCCTGTTGAGTAAATAAACTAGTACAATATTTAAATTCATCATCCACTCTTATCCTATTGGGTAAATAAGCTGATACAATATTCATAACAATACATTAAACAATGGTTATTATGCACAAGCATTGATCTCTGAAGCGCTATTCTGTGAACTTCAAGGAAGTATAGGAGAGCGAGCCACCATTGCCCCAGCTATTGTGAATAAGTTCCGCTCTGGGGTTTCCACCAGCAGCACCAATTGCAACATGTAATGGATAGAAGTGTTCTGGCCATGGGTGATTAACTTTTGCATGTGGTGCCTTTACTTCATACTGGTTAATGTCTTCATACCTACACAGCGAAATCACAGCCATGTCAAGAAAAGCAAGAAAGAGTTTGCAACGCCAGAGGCAGAAGAGAGTCTTCGGAATATGACATTGTCTGGTGGAGAATGTTGATACATTCCAAATTACCAAAATCTTGACAGATAGCATGTAACAAATGAAAGATATAGGTCAAGAGATGTTAACTACAAAGAAATCAACATATCAGAACAAGGGCATTGATGATGATAGGTAAATATAAATATACTAGATAAATAACCTGCCCACAAAAGACAAAATCTCTGGCCAAACAGGATAGTGGAGGGCTAATGGGGGACCAGTGCTACTAGATAGATAACTACTAGGATGATTGAATGCCCCCTATCCTAGCACACTTTCCTGAATCGATTGGCTAAATGTACATTCAGTCAAACATGTTTGGACATATTCAATCCATGGTCAACTAGTAGACAAACAGCATTTTGGTGATTTGTCACATTTGACAGAAACGAGTTTCACTAACAAGTCTACTTGATCATGGAAGCTAGTCATGGCTAAATTAAGACTAGTTTCTCCAGATGCAAAAATTATAAAAGAAAAACAATAAGTATCCGCATACTATTGTGAGGGACTAGATCCAAATGACATACCTTCCATTGAGAGTAGTATCCTTGAGCCAATCATCAAACTCTTTAGCCCAAGAAGCAGGAGGGCCATCACGGGGAGCCCTTAAGTTATGAGTGGCAGATCCAGAACCAAATATGAGAACACCTTCTTTCTTAAGAGTAGCCAAGGCTTTACCCAAATTGTAATGATAGGTTCCGTCCATTTGTGTCTGGACAGAAAGCTGGCAAACCGGGATGTCAGCCTCTGGATACATGAGCATAAGAGGAACCCATGCACCATGGTCCAAACCACGTTTAGTGTCTACATCAACTTTCTTGACCCCGGAGGACTCGAGCAATTCAATTGCCCTTTTTGCCAACTCTGGAGCTCCAGGTGCGGGGTACTTGAGCTGGCATTAGAAACAGAGGTATAATAAGCCTATACAGGTCATGATACAGATAGATGATAAGCTCACTCCAATTAATGTTCCAAATAGGAATTTGAACTCTGATAAGTAATGAATTTCATCACCAAGATGAGTTGAATCACAACAGATAATCAGATTCACTAATTAAACGGTCAAATCAAATAAGAAAAGGTAACATCAGCATTAAACCAAACAATTTCGAGAAATGAGGAAAGATCAAAGCAAGGAAAATGAAGTCATTACTTCCTACCGGAAGACACATGAGTCATGATTCAACTTCCTAGTCAAATCAAATACCTCCTAGTCTGCACAGAAGATCCAGTTTCTAATAATAGGCCTTTATTATGAAATCAAATGATTTAAACTCTAAAATCGAAGCGATCATCTTCAGATCATGATATTAACAAGTCCCAACTACCAAAATACATAGAATATAGGGATGGCTGACCTGATACATTTGCTTGGGGAAACCGTAGAAGTCATGGATGGTGTCGTTGCGGCCACGGATGACGTTGATGGTGGGGACGGAGGTCTCCCAGTGGGCGGAGATGACGAGAATGGAGGTGGGCTTCTGCGGGAAGACTTTCTCTCGGAAGGCTTTGAGGAAATGGCGGGCTGGCAACGAATCATCGATGGAGAGAGTCGGCGAGCCATGAGATATGAAGAACGTCTCGTTCAAAGCCAAAACACCAGCCATTCTGCAATTCGATTCACTTTTTTGTTTTTTCTATCGCCCCTTTGACCTTCACTAGACCTCTTTTTATAAGCCTACCTTCCTTACCGCCCTGCCCTATATGGCTATATTTCCTCACTTCATCCATCCGCGATAAACACGCGTGTATTTTTGGTAGTTCGAAGATTCCAATTAGTTACGGAGTTTTTTTTTTTTTTTTTTTTAAATTTAATTATTATTAAATCATTTTTACTCAAGATTGACAACCATTACTTAATTTTATTTATTTTTAATTGGAATTAATACATACGTCTGACGTCACCCATGAGCTCACTTCCTACAAAATCAAGCCAATGCCCACGGCTGGTTACCCATAGCTTTGCATAATTGTATTTGACCAAAAGAATTTAATTCAAAAATAGAATTTCAAATCGGAATTGAAATGAGTTTTAATAAAACTAAAATTTTATTTAAAAATAGTTAAATAAAATTGAAATTTACTCCTTTTTTATTTTTCCTTGAGGGAGTGTTGATAACATTGACTTTTATAGGTGAATTGTTGGTATTTTGTAATTCATTTTTCTGCAACTATAAATTAGGCTCATCTATACATAAAATATGAAGGACAACTCTAACCAAGTTGGTCAAACAATTAACTTAATGACTACAAGATTACAAACTCAACTCTCAACCGGAGTGCTTTACTAATCATCTTAATTTGAACTGATCAACTATAGATAACTTAAAATGGTTTACCTCCTTATGATTCTTTGACAACTAAGATCATTAGACCCGGTTTCCCTGTTAACTAAAAATAAAATAAAATAAAATAAAAATCTGAACCTAATTAAGTAGGCAGGCAAATGTCCCTTTACTCTGTTTCTAAAGACTTGAAGAAGAATTTGAAGGGGGAGATGGTAAAAATTGAGTGCTTCTAGATATACACTTATCATCCAGATATAAAAAGATACATGTTGGTCAGAACAGGAATGGGTACATATGCTACAAAGAGAAGTATATAGAAGGTGATGAAATGAAGGAAAGACAGATGCAGCTATTCTAAGGTTCCTACTTCTAAGATTTTAAGCAGTCTACATAATCCGGCTGCTTTCCTTCTTCTAAGTTTTTAAGCAATCTAAATAACCCAGCTGCTTCCCTAATCCTTGAGAACTCGATACAAAACGCTTGGACTTCAATAAACAGATCTTTAACTGCAAAATGAATCAAAATGTAACTTGATTAAAAGCAAAGCAGCAATGTGTTACTAGTTTTGTATAAATTTTTGCATTTATAATTTCAACTTTATTCTTCAATACCATTGAAGAAGATCTGGAAATATGACCTTTAGGTCAGATGTTGGTTTATTTATCTTGCCAAGGTGCCATTGCCTCTCACAATAAACAAACTCATCGATATCCCAATACAATTAAAAAAAAAAAAAAAAAAAAAAAAACTTTTCCAGTAATTTTGCATTTTATTAATGTTGGCATATTAATGGGTGAGTTTAATAGTGTTGATATTCTGCAAGAGAAATGAGAAGTGCCACCAAGCTAACACCTGTCGAATACTTTTGTTCTTTATATTGGGATACGTAAAACCATAAAAACCCCTGGTACTACTTTCAAATCATGAAGCAACATGAACTGATCCACAAAAATAAGAGTTCCAATTAGAACATTTACTTACCATCAATTATTTTATTCCGGATCAAGCTCTGCAGGAAGACACAGACAAGCCTTACAAGTCTGTTCTGCATATACCTATCCTGAAATTTGGAAAAGAAAAAGAAAGTGAATATGTAAAAAGAATAGACTATTAACAGCAATCATGCTCAGAATATCACTTCAATAAAATAGTTGGTAGTAAAATGTAAATAAAACTCAGTTCTATTCATCCACTTCCAAGAAGGTTCTTGGTGTATTAGCAGAGTAAGAACTAAGAAGAGAGCACTAATAATGGTGTGGTGTTATGTAAAAAGTATTTAATGGTTATTGGGATTATAGATTAAACAATCTAATTTTTACATGCTCAGTAAAATCTATAGATTAGGCATCCCAGAATAATTTAAACTTATATAACAGAAACTAAACTAAGGTAAGAAGCAGAGGCAATAAAGCAACCTTGATATTCTCACAGGAAGATATACAGTTGGTGATATACATATGTATGAATTCAGTTGGCAAATCAACTGCTTGGGTGAGCCTGTTAACTACTTCCATAGAATGAAGACTCATTTCCATATTGACAAGAACTGTAAAGTATCTGCAACCACAATTACCACATAGATAATTCATTAACATCAGACATTCATCAAATTGAGTACCAGAACCACTAGTTAGAATTTCGTAATATATAATCAATTGAATTTATGAAGCATTAAAACAAGTGTAACAGGAATATTAATCAATAAATAAGGATAAGAAAGACATACTCGGCAATCTCAGGTGAATTCACTAACTTCACAAGAACTTCTACTGCAATAACAGGATTGTTCTCAACGAGCTCCTGAAATCAGAATATATGAACTTTAAACACTCAAAGACACCTATATTCCCAACTTTAGGTTATGGTACTTACTGGAAGCTTTCTTGGTGTCAAACCACAACGGTATACAAGCTTTGGGTCATTTGCCAACTCCAGTAGAACTTCCTGGAAAAGAGGTTAAGAAAACACATCAGAAATGCTAATGCAGTGAAACAAAGAACTAAAATAAGTAGGAGGAATTGAAGAAAAACCGCATTGATTTAAAAACAATCAGTGATAAGTAAATACGGAGTAGAAAAATGTGATGAAAATTAATCTTTAAAGAGAACTAGAGATGGCAAATTAGCAATGCAGCCTGACAGATTTTAACTACACTAAACTTGTGTATTGCCCACACTATCAATCGATCAGTCTATTACCACACTATTCTAAACCATGGGTTGTTTAGATACACCCCCTTTGCTCCATTCTAAAACAGACAAACATTCTAGAAATATGTTTTGACAGCACCAACACAAAGGCAATTAAATTTTCCAGACTCCTGAATATATAAAGATGTTGCATGGCTATATAGAAATAATTTTTTGTCTGGCTATGGGAAATTGCACACTGTTATTCATATCTAGATCTCAGACACCAAAAAAAAAAAAGAATATTTATCTTGGTTTTGTGAATCATTTCATTCCAATTGCAGAAAGTCTTAACAGGATATGATACAGGTTAAAGATTCAAACAGTAAAGGGCACAACACCTCTTGTTGGGTAGGAGCAAGTGGTCCCTTCAAAGCTTTTGCAATCAAATCTCTCATTGCTGCCCCTCTAGTATCAGCACACATTCCATGATCCCACAAAAGCTCATAATTGTAATCAGGGTTTAGCCACACTAGCTACAAAATAAAAGTGGCGTATATTTAGTTGTATGACAGTATGACTCATTGACTTGTATCTAGTGAAATTGGAAAATAGATCAAACTTCTTTTAGAGAAATTTAATAGAGTATTAAATATGTGCTTACTTCACCATCCAGTACTGGAAGCCTCGGAGGGCGAGGCCTTATCCACTGAGGCCCTAAGCCTTCCAGTGACAGATTTGACAAGAGTCCAGTTATAGTCTCATTGATATCCCCAGATCCAATCTTTGGTTTAGATCCTGGTTGTAAATCAAACCTGAAATTCCACAATGCTATGCTAGATGAAAAAAAAAATGACCAAGAGATATAAAAAAAAAATGTTGTTTCTCAATTCAGCTATCACAATTACAACAGTCACTTCTTCCTGAATTGACCTTTTTGTCAAACATTAACTGACCACCTAACTAGATGGAAAAACAAATAAATAAATAAATAAATAAAGAGACTCATACTCTGGTGAACTGCTATCACAACCATGCGGCAAATCAGGATCTGGAATGGTATTTTTCACCAAGTTGCTCTTGAACAAGCAGCTAAATGGTTCTGGCAAAGCTTTACCTTCATACTTCTCTTTCAACTGTCCGCGTTGTGGGAAAGACTAGCCATTCAACAACGAAAGAGACAAGGTCGGTAAGTGATAACAGTGCTAAAGCAATCCAATGATACTTTGAATATCAACACTAGATACTTGGAAATCTGTTACTCACATGTCGTGAAGGTTCAAAACTTTTCATGTAATCTGTAGCAGACTGTTTCAAAACCTGCAGGTATGAGAAATTGCTCAATTAAAATGGGTGAATGTGAACAAACAATTGTATACAAATAGCTTTTGGAGAATCCCTTTTGGTAAAGTGTGGGACAGTGAAAAAAAAAAAAAAAAAAGTACTCCGTAATAAAGTTGTTAGCTACTCCATACTCCACTAATCTGAAGTTATATATCCATTACACTAAACAGACTATTTGTTTTTCTGTTGACAGGTCAAGATTGTTACAGTGGAAGAAGTTATATGCAAGGGAATGAGCAAGTACAACCTCTTTACTATTGGCAGAGTTTAGCAACTGAAGTATAAATGCCCTTTCACATTTTTCAGCTTCTTCTTCAGATGCTGCCTGCAAGTGAAAAGAAACACATGAACACCCCATTCATTATTCCTCCCCACCCCCCGGGCAGACTTTCACATAGTAAGTAAAAATAGCCACCACAGAACGAACATAGGAATGTGATGTAAAGAAATATGCATCTAAAGCCACTTCAGTTCACTTTTTGCCTTTCTTATGCCATCTTGTCACAATATACAGATAAACATTTGGCTCTATTCTCATTGTACCAAGATTAAACATTCTGAATTGGGCCAAATCCTATCAATTTCTTCTCAGTAAAATGAACCACTGTTTAGAAATGGCATATAAAAGGACCCTAGAGTTTTGGAATTGGAGGACCAGTGTTTGCTGATTGACACTATATATTAATGAGATTGACAGAAAACAGAAAATCTGCCAAAATCTTTACCCATGTGTATACCAACAATCAAGCATAGACAGAAATTCTCCCACATTTTTATATTGTCAAAGATCATTATCTGGCTACTAATGCTCTTCTGTAATAGGAGTAGCATGTGTCATTAAATACACTTAGTAGGCAAAATAATTGCATTCGAATGGAACACTTACATTTACAAG